AAAAAAAAGCAAGGATGTCACTTTAAGTACTAAGGTGCAGCTGACTTAAGAGATAGAATTTTCAATTGCCTCATATGGATGTGAAAGCTAGATCATGAGTAAGGAAGACCAAAGAAGTTATAATATTGGCAAAGAATATTGAATATGATACCTGTTTGGGAAAAAGTATAGCCAGAATGTTCTTTAGAGGTAAGGCTGCCATGACCTCATCTTACATACTTCGGACATGTTATCTATGAGGAGGAACTGGTCCCGAGAGAAGGACATTTCTCTCATGCTTGGTAAAGTAAAGGGTCAGCAAAAAGGAGGAGCAACAAGATGGATTACCACATGGGCTCCAACCTATCCACAGCGGTGAGGGTGGGGTCCTGTTATACACAGGGTCACTAGGGAATCTAACCCTCTGCACTGCACATATGTTGTGGGTTCCAATCCTTCTTCTCGAAGCAACCTCATGCTTATTCCTTATTATGTTGGTTTCTTCAGGAAGGTATTTCTGGGATATTCAGCTAGCTCTTCTTTCAAATTATGGAAATCCTTATCACCCACTAGGATGATTTTTGTGAAGAAGGTGTAGTGTCATCTGGTGTATTATGCTGTGCATTGTCCTGAGCAGGGCAGAAAACACTTCACTGTAGAAACAGATAACAACACGACCAATTGGAGAGCAAATTGGCTGAGTCTTACTTTTTTCACATACTGCATTCTTTGTATTGGGCTCATCTTTATGGTAGCTCAGAGTCCTGGTGTGGCTCTGTAGGATAAGAACTGGATTGCTAACTTCAAGGTCCATGGTTCAAACCCACCAGCTGCTCCCTGGAAACCCTTTACTGGGCTGCTATGAGTCAGAATCGACTCGATGGCATTTCACAACAACCATGACAGACCCGGCAGTTATTAATAAGCATATTAAAGAAATGTTTCTGCAAGCTCAAGTCTCTCAAGTGCTGAGGGCCTTCATTAAAAATTATACCCAATTCGGGAGAGAATTTCCCGTTGCCTTTTTCTGAATTATCACATCGTCCATCTTCTTTGCTTTGAACTGTGGCTCTGATACTTGACTTTGACCTCCAGCGAAATTGGGGATAGAATTGGGGGCGGGGGTGGGGGAGGCCCATGAGCCCCAAACCTCTTGAAGGGGCCATTCTTAAGTGGCTGAGCCACCTCACTAAAGGTAAAATCAACGAAAAGCAGAACTTTTCACAGACGTAAAAAAATGGCCCTCACGACAGAAATGTGGCACTCTCCCAACCTCATTCCCAGCGGCCCTGGAGCGCCCAGGAGGAGCGCAGGTTCCGGACATGCTTTCTCAGCTGGGGACTCACACCAGACCCTTGGCCCCTTATGTTGATTCCCAGTAGAACTTGGTTTTCACTTTCCTAATAGATGTCATTATATTTCTGGTCTTAAAAAGTGGGACTTTTTGCTCTAGTTGAAAGAGGATTGTGGTATTCTGTATAATAAATAAGTAATAAGAGAACTGTCTACCTGGTGGAAAATTGGGCTGTGGCGTGCAAGAGATTCTCCCGGTACGGCTTGTTTTTTCACACAACAAACCCTTCTCTGGTTACACAGAGCTGTTTCTGAGCGATGAGGAGCTTAAGAGGCTGCACGAGTTCGAGGCGCAGTGCTTGCAGGAACATTTCCAGGAGAAAGAGGACGAGCAGCGGTCTTCCAACGACGAGCGCATCCGCGTCACCTGCGACAGGTGCGCCCAGCTAATCCTCTTCAGGGGCTAGCCCAGCCAAGGGCTTGCGGACCCCTCCACCAAACCTATGGGGCATGCAAAACTACTTTTAAAGGCCTACTCTGAGTTCTCGTGTTGATTCAAACTTGGGGTTCTCTCCCAAAACAGGGCACAAGGTTATCTTATAAGATGAATATTTGGAACTAAAAAAAAAGCAGAAACAAATACCGGTAGTTTTTGCCCATTCCTAACTACCAACATGGGGACATTTACTGCAAATGGGTTTTTTGGTTGTTTTTAATTGGGGGGGCAGGGCTTGAGACCTTTTATTTATTTATTTTTGAGACTTCTTATTTCTTGGTCCTGGTGTGACACCAGACTGCAAAGCCGTTTGAACTGCAAGGTCGGCGGTTCAAGCTCACCAGCTGCTCCTCGGAAACCCTATACAGGGTGGCTATGAGTCGGAACTGACTCGACGGCACTTCACAACAACAACAAGATAACTAATATCTTTACTTACACAGACATAACTATTTTTGGTGTAACTTACAGTTCTTAAATGCTTGTAAATTGATCTTTTACCCAGAAAGACCTGCCTCTTAATTTATACAAACATTCAAAAGCGGGATTTGATTTAGAGAATAACTATCTATTATTTCTTCACAAAGGAGCTCTGGTAGTGTAGTGGTTACAAGTCCGGCTGCAAATCTCACGGTCAGCAGTTCGAAACTACCGGCTGTTCCACAGGAGAAAGACGAGGCTTTCTGCTCCCATAAAGATTTACAGCCTCGGAAACCCTGTGCAGGGTCGCTCTGAGTCGGAACCGACTTCACGGCACAGCACAGACCACGACAGCCTAGTTAGTAGAAAGAACAACCAGCTATAGGGCTATGTGGCTGTACAGGAAACCCCCTCTCCCCCAGCTTTTGTTTTTCCCTTTACCTGGTTTGATCTTTCCGCTCCTGACTGACCCTCTCATCCTGCCTCATTTCTTACTTTTCCCCTGGGAGGCATTTCCCACATTCCCAACGTCATTGGCAGAGGTAAGAGGGGCCTTTCTCCAAGTGCTAGAGAAAACTGGTACTTTGTGCTGATGAACACGTCTGTCACCATGAAAGTTGTTGTTGTTGAGTGCCATCAAATCAGTTTCTAACTCAGAGTGACCCTGTATAGGGTTTCCCAGGAGCAGCTGGTGAACTTGAACCACAAACTTTGCAGTTCGAATCCACCTTGTGGTCCAGTGTTTATCTCGTAGTGCCATACCATGAATCCTGAGGGTTGTTGTTGTTGTCAAGTGCCGTCGAGTTGATTCCGACCTATAGCGACCCTGTATAGGGTTTCCAAGGAGCAGCTGGTGAGCTTGAACCACAGACCTTGCAGTTCAAACAGCTTTGCAGTCTGGTGCATTAACCCACAGCGCCACACCAAGACTCCTCATAGTGACCCTGTATAGGATTTCCCAGGAGTGACTGGTGAACTTGAACCACAAACTTTGCAGTTCGAACCGACCTTGTGGTCCAGTGCTTACCCCGTAGTGCCATACCATGACTCCTGAGGGTAGGGGCCTCTAAATTAGGACAGAGTCTCTGCTATAGACTTGTTTCCATCCTCAGGACCATGTAAAATCAGCATAATCTACGTGGTTTTAAAAAAAAACACCCTGATCCTAAATCCATTACCATCCAGTCGATTCCAACTCCTGTGCTATGGGTTGGAATCGACCTGATGGCACTCAACAACAACAACAACAACATACAAAGCATAAGCACTCTATAGTGGTTTTTTGGTTACACTTGTTATGGATTCCCAGGCTTTTCTTCCACAGTGCTCTGGGTAGATTTGAATCATCAATCTTGAGTTTAGTTGTTGTTGTTGATAAGTGCCATTGAGTCAGTTCCGCTGATTCTTGGAGACCCTGTATAGTATTTCTGATGAACAGTTGGTGATTTCGAACCTCTGACCTTGTAGTTAGCAGTCCAGTGCTTATTCTACAGCGCCACACCAGTTAGTAATCCCCCACAAACTATTGGCACCATCCAGGGACTGCATCCACATGGTTCATCAAAACCGTAGCCCACTGCCTTCGATTCAACCCCACCTCATAGTGAGCCTATAGGATAGAATAGCACTGTAAATCTTTATGGGAGTTCCAGAAGCTGTGAATCTTTAGGGGACTAGACAGCCCTCTCTTCCTTTCACAAAACAGCTGGTGGGTTGGAACTGCTGACCTGTAAGTTAGCAGCCCAATGCTTAACACACTGTACCACCAAGGTTGTTGTTGCTGTTAAGTGCCATTGAGTCAGTTCCGACTTACAGCAAACCTGTATAGGCTTTCCAAGGAGCAGCTGGTGGGTTGAAACTGCTGACCTTGTGATTCGAAGTCAAGTGCCAACAGGGTCCCACCAAGAATAGTGCTAAATGAATGCAGACTGAATGAATACATGAATGAGAGAATCACTGAATGCGTACAAGAAGGCAGGTCAGGGAGAGACAGACAGGGTAACATTTCCCAAATTTTAAAATTATAGTATTGCTCCTCACAAAGCTAAGAATAACAAACAAAGGGGAAATGGGGGTAATAAAACTTCATTATCTGTGGTTTTTGAAGTACATAATTTTTAAGACTCTTTATCATTCAGTAAAAGCAAAGGTAAGCTTGTTAATAGCTGAGACAGTTGATGATAGGAATTTAACTATCACTGTAGTGGTGGGGGGTGGGATGCACTTGCAGGAGACATGATGAAGTGCCCCCAAGCTCCTCATATCTTGAGTATCAGAATTAAAGTTTCTGATCTCTGTGCATATTAACAAACATGAAAATGTGGTAAGATTTCTCAAAGACATGGAGTCCTAGTGGTGCTGTGCGTTAAGCACTGGACTGTTAACTGCAAGGTCTGTTGTTCAAACCCACCAGACTCTCTCAGGGAGAAAATAAGACTATCTACTCCCATAAAGATTTACAGTCATGAAAACCCTCTGTAGGGTCTCTATGAGTAAGAATCAATTCCATACCGGTGAGTTTTTTCAAAGCTACTTCAGCAGACAATCCCCAGTCTTAAGGGTCCAACAATTAGAACAGAATTCACAGATGAACCTTGACAACTCCCTGGTGTAGGCACAGGGAGGGATGATGTCCCAGCAGTTGTACCCTGGCCCTAATCTCCTAGACACAGTCACTTTGTAATCTAGCCAGACTCATGGATTGCCTGTACCAACTTTTGGCCTTGTTGTTGTGGTTGTTAGGTGCCTGGTCCTGGGCCATCCTCACAATTGGTAGACTTGAGTCCATTGTGTCAGTCCATCTCACTGGAGGTCTCTTTTTCACTGACCCTCCTCTTTACCAAGCATGATGTCCTGTTCCAGAGACTGGTCCCTCCTGATAACACATCCCAAGTAGGAGAGACGCAAGTCTCACCATCCTGACTTCCAAGGAACATTCTGGCTGTACTTCTTCCAACATAGATTTGTTTGTTCTTTTGCCTGCCTGTGGTATTTTCAATATTCTTTGCCAATACCTTAACTCAAAGGCATCAATTCTTCTATGGTGTTCCTTATTCACTGTCCAACTTTCACATGCATATGAGGCTATTGAAAATACCATGGTTTGGGTCAGGTTTACCTTAGTCCTCAAACAAATATCTTTTCTCTTGAACACTTTAAAGGGTCATATGCAGTAGATTTGCATGATGCAGTACATTGTTGGATTTCTTGACTGCTACTTCTGTGAGTCCTGGGTTGGCATTGTGGGTAATGCATCAGACTACAAAGTCGTTTGAAGGTCAGTGGTTCAAGCTCACCAGCTGCTCCTAGGAAACCCTATTCAGGGTCGCTAAGGGGCGGAATCAACTTGATGGCACTTAACAACAATTTCTATGAGTGTTGATGGTTGATCCAAGCAAAATGAAGTCTTTGGCAACTTCAAGGTTTTCTCCTTTTATCATGATGTTATTTATTGGTCCAGTGATAAGAATTTTTTTTTCTTTATATTGAGGTACAATCCATACTGAAGGCTATGGTCTTTGATCTTCATTAATAAGTATGTAAATTGCTTCCAGCAAGAGGGTATCGCAGGTTGTTAATGAATCTTCTTCTAATCCTGATGCCACGTTCTTCTTATAATCCAGTTTCTCGTCTGTTTGTCAACTATGGTAGCTTGTGTGTTGCTGTGATGCTGGACACTATGCCACTGGAATTTAAATACCAGCAGAATCACCCACAGTGGACAGGTTTCAGCAGAGCTTCCAGACTAAGACATACCAGGAAGAAGGAGAGACAGACTACTTCTGAATGTTTAGCTACTGAAACCCTATGACTAGAAGCAGAAAGAACATTTTCAGATACAGGGCTGGAAGATGAAAACCTTATGACTAGCTTTTGGTTTACTAAGGTGCATTTTCAATAAGACTTTGAATAACTAGCATTTAAACCATAATTGTTCAGCTGTTGAGATCTACAAATTATTTCTTCATAGGAAGGATAAGACCCCATCTAGATAATCCAGAATTTCCACTTGCTAGTTATAGAATAATTTAATCATAGTAATTTACAAAAGAAGTCATGTTTTGCTTTATTCTGCCTCTTCCCCTCCTCCCTTCCCCTCACATTGGTTGGATTTTTTATCATTCTTGTACTAAGTCTCCAAGAATGTGATTATCAAGACACTGCCGAATTGCATTTTTCTCTTGGGGCTCTGTGCAGTTCTAATAGGATTAACATGTGCAGGGCAATAAAAACACTCTACTTCCTGCTTTCCTTGGCTGTGATCCCCAACAGTGATGCGAACACATTCCTGCCCCTCTGTTTCCTTGACCTTTCTGAGCCTGACTCACAGATAAATGCCAAAGGAGGAAAAAAAAAAAGAAAAGGAGGAAGACCGCCTTAAAGGTGTGGAGAGACCGTAGTGTTCCTTTATACTTTTCTAATTCTTAACAATGACAGCAGAGGAGAAAGAGGTAAGGTGGCAGAAATGAAATTAGCTATCTTTGCCTAACTTTCAACACCTGTAATTACTTTTGAAATCA